GCCAATTCAATGCCAACAGTAATGCCCAATTTGGGATACAGTGAAGAAGGAAACTTTATTCAGTGTAAAAAGCTCAACTGTGCCACAGCTAGACAGCTCAGCTCTGCGTGAGGGTCTGCTCTGCTCTGCTTCTTGCTGGTGTACTCAGTCTGCACTGTTCTGGTGAGACATCTTCAGGGCTCCAGCTCAGCCAGGAGATGCAAGCTTCAGTCTTTGGTAGAAAGGGAACACGTGCTCTCTGAACCAGAAGGGAGCTGGCTTATATGGACAGGAGTCCCTGCCCAGATCCCTGATTAGTCCATCCTCATGCAAATGAGTAGCCAGATCCTCACAGTTTGATTGGTCCAAAAGACACTGTCCTGATTGGTCAGAATAGAGCCACTCTGATTGGCTGGAGCTGTGAGTTCTGATTGGATGGGGAAAACCTCCGTTCTACTGGTTGAAATAGGATTCCAGGGACTCCTTTATAAGGGCTGGCTCAGAGGGCAGAGACACAGTGGAGAGCTGGGCAGTCCAGGACAGGCTTCTCTGTGAAATGCAGTTTGTGTGAGAGGCCCTGTGCAGAAATGGCTGCTAGGCTGTGGGTTGGTTGGTTTGTTTGTTTGTTTGAGCCAGTTGGTCACCAGGAGCCCTTCTTAGTAGATGTCTTTTTTTCTCAGAGTTCACAAGGATGAAGATGAAAATGCAGGTTTTGATCACTTATGGCTAGAGGAAGTGGCCAAGGGTAGATGGGGTTTCCACAGACTTGGAGGGAAGGAGAGATACACGGATTGATTGATTGACTGATAAATTCTTATATTTTAGTCAGGCATGTTTAGAGTATTTTATTTTTTAACACCCCACTTTCTATATATGAGAAAACTATTTTCAGTAATAATCATGAGATGAAACAAATATATTTCATGTGTGAAATAAAATCAGCACTTCCCAAACACAGTCATTATCCTCCGCAGGCCACCCTTCCCCTGTTTTAAATTTTAACCACCGACTAGCACACCAAGTAGCCACACAGAATGTCAGGATTGAAAAACCCGTACGTTCATCTTCACCATCACTCTGCAGGCGTCGTTTCTTGGACCTGCTGTTGAGATGCAGAAATATGTGACACTGTGA